AAAAAAAAAAAAGGAAAAAAAAAAAAAGAAAGATTAAAAAAATTGCACACAATTAACCATATCTAAGGGCTATCCAGAAGGCAGGTGACCCCCCTCATTCCCCTGGCATTGGTGGTTTCTCTTTTGTTCTATATATAGTAATAACCTTTACAGGAAAAATACTGTACAACTTTTTTTTTTTTTTGCCTTTCCTTTTGAAACATTATCTGAACATTCTGTCCCCACATTTACACAGCTGAGCTGCTTGTTTATAAATCAGACCTGATCTGCACTAGTTTCTTAGGGAAATAATTAAAAAAAAAAACCAAACCAAACCCCTCAATTTCTTGAGGCCTTTATCTGTTCAGGGTGAAAACAGATTATGGGGATCCCTTGGAGCTGAAGTGCCCATGGAGCTGGGGGCGGGAGGGGGTGCCTGCATGACGTTAGAAAAAAATAATTCTTTTTTTTTTTTTAAAAAAGGGACAAACTTTAGACACAAGGAACCTTTTGCTAGGCTGGTATACTTACAAACTGGCACTGAAATAACTATTATCAGAATTCATTCATACGGCTAGTCCTTCTGGAGCCCAGGTGTATGGAAACAAGCCCTCTCAGACTCGGGCGAGGATTTGGGGTCAAACAGCTCCCGTCTCACCTCTCGGAGTCCGGGACAGTATCCTGTAGTGTGTGTTCCCAGACTGGGACAGGAAAAGAGAGCAGGGAAGAGCTTGTAACCAGGGGAAAGCCCAAGCTTCTGGAGGTGGCAGGTCTCAACACCGTATAGTTGCATTTCCTTATGCGGTGCCCAAGCTATTAGCCCTACTTGTCAAAATTTATCAGCACGGACCCAGAAATACACCAGTTTTTAGCTGGACGACATCCTGGCCTCAGCCAGCATCCCTTCCCCCCCGCCCCCCTTTGAGTGCTCTGTGCTGCGCAGGCTGCAGCAGCCTCCTGTTTTGTAGCTGCAAAACCCATGACTGGGCCAACAGCTACACGGGTGCTGCAGGACAGCGTTGTCCCCCCTCCCCGCCCCAGTGCTGAGCAGCAGAGACCCCCAGTCTGAGCAGGACATCCCACAGTGGGATCCTGGACGCTTGCCTGCCTTCTCCTCCCTCTTCGGCGGTGCCTTCGCCCTCTCCCAGAAGTCACCAGAGGTCCGTATCAGTCCACGCGGAAATCCCCAGTGAAAGACTGGGGACAAGGGCTTGGGGACTGGGGACATACCTGTCATTGTACAACTGCTCGGGTCAGAGAGCAAGTAGTATTTTCAAGGCTGCTTTAGTGGCTAAAAAA